ATGACGTTATAAAAGGAAATTATAGTTGCAATGTTGGGTTAGGTTACAGCAAATGGGCATTGTGCATGTGATGGAATTTCAACAATATTTGCTTCATCTTGCCTACCTACTAACTTATGATGATGATATAAACATGATCATGTGTGATGTGTGTATTTATATATCATATCATTAATTTGATCGATCAATCCATATAACCTCACCTTTTCAAATTTATTTAGATTCCATCTAAATTGAGTTTTGCAGTTATGACACCACGAAAAGGAACCGGACAGAATGTCATTAACCGGTTTGTTGTAGATATATCTCATTTTCGATATTTAATTTCTAGCTTGTGATGAACTTAAATCTTAAGCCACCGTTTCACATTTCAAATCCGGTCCTGCCAACATTTGATTAGGTTTATTTTGGTTCACTAAACCATGACAAGTACAGCAACTGCCTAGCTGTGACATGAACAAGGACACAGAGAAATTAAAACCAAAAGTATTAAGAGATCCCATAGATGATGAACTGTCGAAAGACAAAACCTTTTAGCTAGCAAGATTTCTTTTCACTTTGTTTCTAAATTGAAGATATGTGAAAGATCATACGAAGTTTCATAGAGACAGAAACAAAGGTGGGGGATTCTAATTTCTAGTGAAAGAAAGAAACCAAAAGACAATTTAGAAAAAAGGGTTTATTATTGAATGCATAAAAAAATCATACAAGTCCAAGAAAAACTAGTGTTTGATAGGAAACCAACCGAATAAGCCTGCTAACAGGCCCACGTTTTAATATTACAATACAAATGAAACCCAATTAAGGAACCCAATTGTGAACCGACGAAGAATGTCGTTTCGGAGTTGTTGTCGGTGAATTTTCAGAGATATCGATCAAATGATGATGAGTTTAGGGGTGATCTAGCCACCTGTGCATCATGTCAGAACGTAGTTGAGGGTTAGTTTCTATGAAGCTATAAATCTTGTTCCGGATGTTGGAGTCAATAATCTGAAAAATGGAATCAGCCGATCGAAAAGTCTTCGCTGATTTCTTTCTGCCCAAATGTTGTAGATCACTTGCCAAGCAAGGAGTGATTGTGGAGGCCCAGTCACGATATGCCAGTGTTTGCGAACGGTAAGCACACGGCTCCTCCCAAATTGACCAAGTAAATCTACAGGCGAATAGCATTTACAAAGCAGTTTTAAGGCCCCAACCTATCTTTTGTGGGACAACGATTAAGCATAAACAACCAACAAAGAAAGCTGTGTCGTGGAATCCCTCCTTGAATCCAGGTAACCAAAACAGAGTTTTACATAATAATTTGTTCAATTTCAAGAAGCTATAGCAATAACTCCTTCTGGGTGTATATTACCTTAATCTCTCAAGTACTTAGTGAAG